TCCTCATGACCCCTTGACCCCAGAGCCCCACACCCACCCCCTGCCAGCTACTCTCCTGCCACCCTTGCCCACACAGCCACAGAGTGGCCGCCGAGGTCAGGGAGAGCCATGGGAGAACCTGTGGGTCACCCCGCTGGAGGGACAGGCCTGGAAAGCCAAGCCGGTGTTGGTGGCACCACAACCCATGCACAAGCTCTCACCTCCAGCGCCCAGGGGGCCGAGCTTGTTCTCCTTGGGAAGTTTGTTTGCCATCCCAGGCCAGATGGCACAGGGGGAGGGGCAGGAAGGGCAGGTGTCTTTGGCCTTCCATCGTGGAGCCTGGGGGACAGCCCCTTGTCCCTCTGCTGGGTGCTGCTGAGGCCCTACAGGAGCAGGGAAGGTGCCCACATGGCCCAGGCTGGCCCTGCAGAGCGGGCTACACCAGCTGTAGGCCCAGGGTTCTGATGCCCTCATAGCCCCCCTCTGGGAGTAGGCAGGAGGCCCCAGAGTGGGATGGGGCTCCAGAGGAGGCAGCCGGAAGGAAGATGGGCACTCGGGATGGGGGAGGGGAGGATGGCATCTGCTGAGCTGGTCCCTGAAGGGTCAGTGCTCCCATCTATGAAGTGGGGAAGGCAGGTGCTGAGGCCTCAGGGGTGAACCCCAGAGCAGGGTGGTACTTCCCAAGGCCTCACTGCCACCTGCACAAGGCCCTGCAGCCCATCCTGCCCAGGGGACAGGGGCCAGCAGGCGAGGGCAGTCACGAAAGTCACCAGCCAGCTTGTCCACAAAGGACCACCTGCCCTCCAGAGGGGGGCCGGCCAGTGGGGTCCAGTCACCAGCCCCTGCTGCTGTTCCTGAAGGGGGCCCAGCCCTGGGCCATGGAGCCAGGGTGTTGGGGCCTCCCGTGGACGCTGCTGGGGGTGGGGGAGCAGGGGCTTGCATCAGCCCTGGTTGCAACAGCACTGCCCGGGGACGCAGAGCCAGCTGTGGGCACAGTGCCCGCCGTGAGTCCCTGGAGCCCGAGGAGGGGGAGGGAAGGAACAGCTAATGAGTTCCAGGAGGTCAGCTGTGAGGGGCCCACAAACCCATAAACCCTTTATTGGTGTCTCAGGAGGGGAAACCCGGATGTGGCCGTTTATTTATTTTGGATTTCACTTTTCTCTTCTCTTTATAACATGCACTTCCAGGAGTGTAACTGGATTTTTAAAGAAACAGGACTTCCTTTTTCAGTGCAGGGGGACTCTGTTTTTCTCAGTCCTGAAGAAGAAAGGAACCCTTATTCTTTGTGCAGTTCCAACCACTGACCCCGTAACTCACTTTACCCACGCGAATTATCCCCTCTGTCTCAGGGCCCGGAACCAGGCCTGCTCCAGCCCTGAGCCGAGAGGGCAGGTTTGTGGTGTGCCGAGTGTGTGCACTGAGTGAGCCCCAGGTCTGCTGCCCAATCCTGGGCCAGGCCCAGCACCCAGGAGAGGGCAGTGGGGCCGACAGAGGACTGACCTGGCATTCCAGCCCAAGACTGCCGCCCCTGTGGACACAGCCCCAGCAGGCATGACTCTCGGGGCTGGGCACAGCAGAGCCCAGAGGCAGCCTGGTTTGGAGAGCAGGGCAATGGGTTCCAAGCCTGCCTTAGGGCCTGCCTGGCCCAATAAGCCTCTGACATCATGGGATCCCATCCACACCAACCACCCACGAGGCATGCCCCAGGCCATCTGGGGGCGCTGGAGGCAGGCTGTCTGGGGCTGGTGGACGGTGTTCCTTGCCTAGTGCTGCTCTCTGTAAGAGAGAACTCTTAGATTCAATCCTTTCCTCTAGAGGGCCTGTTCGCAAGGGAACAAAAGATCCCTGCCAACTTTCCCACAGAAAATGTCTGTTTCCTGGGTAGCCTTCCCTGATATTTAACGTGCAGCTTATCCTTCCTGACCTGTACCGATGGGGTGGGGAGTGGGTGACTAAGGAGGGGGCTCACTGGGGCAGCCTGCCGCCTACAAGGAGGACAGACAGTGGGGATGGTGCTGCCAATGCCACAGGCTTGTTGGGACTGAGACAGCAAGTATGCCTGGCTCTCAGGGCCTGTGCCTGTACGAGCTCAGCAGATCCTGAGTGCCAGCAGCAGAAGGCAAGTGCCAGAGAGTGCAGGGGATCATGGCTCATGAGGCTTGGAGGAACACTGAGAAGACGTTTGCGGGGTAGCTCCTGGAATGTCACCTTAAGATATGTAGAGAGTCCCCCATTAAGGATGTTGATGAGGACATCTGCCGCTCTGTAGCTGGATGGGGACTTGGCCCCATGCTCCTCCTTAAGCTGTCACTCTGGCTGCAGATGTCAGATAGACTGCGGTGAGGCCGGGGTTCCTGGCCCAGGGCAGTGCCCTTCCTGACCCTGCCAGCTCTTAGGGGAATTCAGAGTCCCTCCCAGAGGCATCCCTGTGCTCCCAGAGGAGGGCTGGCCTGGCCTCACTTCCTGCCACGAGGCCACAGCTTCTGCCTCCTGGGCTCTCTGCAGACGGAGCAAGAGACACTGAAGAGGGAGGAGGATGTGGTGAGGCTGGGGGCTGAGAAGGAGCAGCTGGACCAGTCTCTGAACAGCCTGCACAAGGAGGTGGATGGAGTCCGGAGGCAAAATCATCAGCTGCAGGTCAACTGGGCCAGCAGAGCTCTGCGTACCCCAGACTTGGGAACAGACCTGGGGTGGGATTCAGGAGGGTGTCAGTTCCAGAGGGGTGGCTGGTGTACCTCCATCTCACATGTGCACACATGGGGAGGGTGGCTGGACCAGCTTGTGCATGTGATGGATACAGACTCAGATCAAGGCCCCAGGCAGAGCTGGAACCAGGACCCAAGGCTCCTGCCCTTCTTGAGACATTGAAGTCCCCGTGGGAGCCAGGCCTGGGCTCTATAAAGCAGCACAAGGGTCAGACGAGGGAGGTCAGAGAGACCTGCGGGACAGGGCCAGAGGCTGCTGCCTGCTTGTGTTGGGGCGCAGGAACCCCCTGAGGCCTAGGGGCCTGACACCCACAGAAGGGGCCTCAGAGGCTTCATTCTCCCTGTCCACATTGGACATACCCCCATCCTCAGAGACCAGCAGGGGATGGGGGCAGGATGGGCAAGAATCAAACTTCGATGCCCTCCAGACACCCAGCCCAGACAAAGGGAACCTGGGATGCCATTAAAACAGATTTTAGGCCCACCCTGGAGGCTGCGGCTTAGTCTCCAGCCCAGCCAAAGCCAAACCCAAGGCCTATGGGCTGAACATGTGCACCCAACCCCAGGTCTGCTGGGCAGTCCTAGCCAGGGTCAACACCGGCAGAGGACAGTGGGGCCCACAAGGGGAGGTGGAACATCCTGTGGCACTCCCGCCCTGGGATTCTGTGTGGCCCTCGGTGAGAGACAGCAGTGAGACGCCCAAGTTCTCACTCCAGGCCCAGATGGTGGAGATGGAACAGGCCCACACCCAGCAGCTCCAGGACCTGGCGGCCCAGCACCAGCGGGACCTGGCCACAGAGGCAGAGCGTCTGCACGGGGACCAGTCACAGGCCACACAGGCCCTGGAGTCCCAAGAATGGACCCACCAGCAGCGGGTGAAGATGCTGGAAGAGCAGGTAAGGTTGGGACCCCAACCCCCTGGGTGAGGGCAGAGGGAGGGAGGGAGGACTGGCATCCCCGCAGCAGCACCCAGTAGGGGTGACTTCTTGAAGTCTTCTAGCAACAGGGGCTCTCCACTGCCACCCAGTGGGCTCCAGACCTGCTCTGGGCACTGCCTGCACTTCTTTGCTCTCGAGGGCACGAGGTTTACCTCATATCCCAGTGAGGTCACTGGGAGGTGGAGCGTGGATTCTGGGGCAGGTCACCACCCTCTCTGAGCCTCCATTGCCCTGTCTCTAAAGTGGGGTAGGCAGGACAGCTCCTGTGAGGGGTCACTGGGAGACTGAGCTGTCGCTATGTGTGAGGTGCTTAGACAGCACCTGGCACACACGGTTGTAGCAGAGGCAGCCCCTGCACCTGTCCTTCAGAGTCACGAAGGGAAAACAATGGTACGCGTGGCACATGTGGGGATGAGGTGGGCACAGTGAGGCGTTGTGCACGGCACACCCACACATGCATAGATGCACGTGACAGACCTGCTGGGCTGAACCACGGAGACTTGGAGCTCAGAGCTGTCAGGACCTTAGAGCTGTCTGTTCATTTTACAGATGAGGAAACTGAGGCCCAGGAGGTGACCTGACTGCCCAGTGTCATCCCCAAGTTAGGGCCCATGACCACCAGGGCTCTTTTGCTAAATTTATTAGCAAAAGGACATTTATTTATTTCCTTATCATTCTAAGTGCCTTTTTTTTTTTTTTTTTTGAGATGGAGTCTCACTCTGTTGCCTGGGCTGGTATGCAGTTGCACGATCTCGGCTCACTGCAACCTCTACCTGCTGGGTTCAAGCGATTCTCCTGCCTCAGCCTCCAGAGTAGCTGGGATTGCAAGCACCCACCACCATGCCTGGCTAATTTTTTTGTATTTTTAGTAGAGACGGGGTTTCACCATGTTGGCCAGGCTGGTCTTGAACTCCTGACTTCAGGTGATCCTGAGGCCCAAGGCCCGCCTCGGTCACCCAGAGTGCTGGGATTACAGGTGTGAGCCACTGCACCTGGCCTCATTCTGAGCGCTTTCATGGCCTGAATAGAAGCAGGCCCATCCATCCAGGGTGCACAGTGGCCATAATCCTGAGGCCTCCACAGGTGGGCAGAGTGGGCATCCGTGGTGAGAGGCAGAACTGCGCATCCCTCTGGCAGCAAGGGAGTCGGTCTGATGTCTGCTTGATGTTTCTGTCCCAGGCATGCCACCTCTCCTCGGGAGCTGTGGACCGTGGCCTCCAGCCCTTCCTGTCACAGAGCCCTCCATGCCTCTGTGCCCTGGGGCCCTGGCCATGCAGCCTGCCCACCTGACCTAAGCCACCGTTCTGTCCCCAGGTGGCCGGCCTGAAGGAGCAATTGGACCAGGAAATGCAGCGGTGGCAACAGGCCCACCTCGACCAGGCCTTCTAGACAGGACAGTGAGGCCTGCTGCACACCACCCAGCAGCCTAGCCGCCTTCAGCCCTGACAGGCCTGCAGGGGGCCCTGGGGAAGGTGCTGGAGGCGCTGGGCTGCTGGGGGAACCACTGTTGGGAAAACCAATGCCATGTGCTCTGCACAAGAGAGACAAAGCTCAAATGGGGTGGGCACGATGCCAGCAGAAAGCACAGGGTGCAGGTAGCCACCAGCCAGGCTAACACTCACTCCTCAGGGTCCCCAGGCAGCGGCGCACTCTGAGCCCATTGGCCACAGAGCTCCTCCGGCCCCTGGGGACTCAGCCTGCAGCTGGTGCTGGACCATACTGTGGGTCGTTCATCGCTGACAGCCCCGTCCCCTCCGGCAGAAAGCAGGGGCTTGGGCATCCTCACACCCTACCCCCGCCTGGCGTCCTCACAGCCTGCCCCCGCCTGGCACTCCATTTCCACTTTGGAGGAGCTGGTCTGGCCAGACCCCCGGGGCCAGGCCCTGTCAGGCTGGCTTCCCCGGCTTCATTCCGTGCCCTCAGCTCTGTAAACACGGGAAAACACGTGGAAAACATTTCCACCAACTGGAGCCAAAAACATAATGTCCTGTAAGGCCAGCCACCACATCCCCACGCCCAGCGGCTGCGAGCCTCCGCATCCAGGAACTGCGGCCGTCACGGTGGCAGGTGGCTGGAAGTGACTCAGATTCAAGTCCCCGTGACTCACTGGCCGCCAGAAGCAGGGGAGTGTAACACTTAAAGCTGTTACAGAGCCTCCCATGTTCCTGGCCTGGAAATGCTGGGAACGGTCCTGCAGGATTCCGGCCGGGTTGCTATGGAGACCCAGGCGGCCATCTTGGGCCTATGGCATGGGCCACCTGTGTCCATCTGTGCTCCTCGTCTCCATCACCATTGCTCAGAGTGACTTGTTCTCCTCTCCAAAGGGCCGCATGCTTTATAGGTGGTCATTTGTGATATCTGTGGGGCACCAGCCAGCCCAGTGAATCCCTGCATGTACCACAGGGGCCTCCCGCCCCGGCTGCAAGGACTCTGGCCTAGGGGTGCAAGGCCAGAGGCTCCCGGCCCCCACCCCATCACAGTTACTGTGAGCCGCAGCTCCATGTGCAGCAGTGTCTATTTCAAGATCACTCTGGGACTTAAAATAGTCTGTCCTGGCACACCTGGTTTTCTGGTGGACTTAGTAATGGAGTTACCATATGCTGTAAATTGTGCAAAATCAATAGCTAAAGAGAGGTGGTCAAATAGGCTGCTTCCTGTCCGTCACCTCTGCCTGATTGTTGGGGGCTGTGTTGAGAAGGATTCTGAGGTTCAGCCTGGGCTCTGAGGGGAAGAGCTTGGTGACCCATGAGCAGAGGTTACTGTGGGCAAAGGAGGAGTCAGTGGTGGCACAGGTGCCCTAATGGGCACTCCCTGCCGTGGCCAGTCACGGGTGGAGGACAGCAGGCAGGCCTGCCCCCACTGCTGGAGAACGCTCTGCCAGATGGCAGGTGGAGAGGGTCACTGAGAGGCAGCGTGTGGTGCTAGGGCCTGGCACTTAGTAGGTATGTCCCTTCCCTGCCTTCCCTCCCCATCCGCAGTCTCCTCAGAGAGGGGGACTCCCACTCCGCAGCCCTATTTAGACAGCTCGCTCTCCAGCAGTTTCAGGACCCTCCCTGCCCTGGCTGCTCATGGTGAACATTTGAAATGCACGTAGGGGCCTCAGAATTTTGAATTTTAACAAATAGTTAAATCAGCATAGAAGATGCTATTTTAACTTGTTCAACCTAAAGGCATGTATTTAGGAAAAGAGGATTTTTCTAGTGGAAATACGTTGGCATGTTCTTAAACATGTCCAGCGATCGTGCGTGGGCCTTTGTGTTTGGGTCTCATGATGACTGAGAACTGTGCTGAGGTTTGGAGAGCTCTCCCTCTGTTCTCACAGCAGCCCTTCGAGCACCTGGTTTGCAGATGAGGAGGAAGCCTTGCTTTGGGACAACTCTGCACCAGGTCGTCAGGAGAGGGTCAGGCCCAGGGACCTGACAGCCCGGGTCAAGGCTCCCTCTCCACTGGCCTCGCCCCAGGCCCATCTGCCCAGTGAGGGGCAGGCAGAACCCACGTTAACCAGAGGACATGCCCCAGAGGCTGGGGTCTCCCTGCCCCTTCGTGAAGGCAAGGCCAAGGGAAGAGGGGGCTGGACCCCTTCCCACGCCCCCCGCAGAGTCGAGGGGAAAACACCATGCATAGCCTGCAGCCAGCCCAGGCCTGCCTGGACGGGGGTCCCAGCTGTGCCCCCACCAGCTGTGCAACCCTGGACAGATTCTTTAGGTTTTGGTTTCCCTGTCTATAAAGTGGGGTGATCCCAGCCCCAGAGGGCCCTGGTGTGTCCTCCGTGAAGGATCACCCAAGCTGAGGCCAGAAGGACTCAGCTAACGGTGGAGGGACTATCACCTGCCACAGCCACGGCTCTGGGAGTGCCATGTCCATCTCCCTGCTGCCATCCCCAGCCTGTAGAGCAGCCTCGGCCATGGTCCAGCGGGGCCAGGGTGTTCAAGGGAGCAGCCCCTGAGGCCAGCCTGGTGGAGGCGGTGCAGATCCGTGGTGCTCCCAAGGGGAGGACAACTCTCAGGGTCTGCCTCTAGAACCCACAGTGAGTCTGGGTGTCGGTGGAAACTCGGAGGTGGCCCTCAGGCCTGTCCCTGCAGGGGATGGACCCCCAGAACCACCTCATGGAGCTGGAGCCACACATAACACTTGCGGCCTCGGAGGCCTCCACAGTCTGGCTCTTCCTCTGCCTGCCCTCTCCGGGGGGCAGAGGGGATAAATGTGCCCAGGGTTTCTGAAAGCCAGGAGACCCTCCCCGACACAAGGCAGGGGCCCAGCTCCTGTCTGAGACAGAACACAAAATCCCTTCGGATTCCTGCCACCCTGGAGGCTTGCTGAGGAATGTGGGGCATGCAGGGGGTGTTGGTGGGTCCTATCTGGCCTCTGGCCAGGAAGCTCTGATGCTCTGACAGGACCTCAGGTGCCTGGGTCAGGGGGCAGCCCTCTGCAGGCATCCAAGGATGAGGATACAGACCAACGCAGGGAGGGGACAAATGGGAGAGGAAGGCCCCCCTGGGGAGGGGCACTGGAGGAGGGGCCACGTTGAACACAGACGGCAGCACCCCATGGCAGGCCAGCCCTCTGAAGCACCCCAGGTTGAGGGAAGCACAAGCTTTGGTTGGCTGAAGCCAGGGCAGGAAGTGGGCCAGCTGGAACCAAGAGCATTGTTTATCTGGGCTTCCAAAACATTCATACTTTTCAAATTAATTGCAAAAAAAATGTTAGCAGGGAAACATAGAAAGAAGAATGTAACCACTACCATGATTTGTGACCTGCAGAGCCCCTGAGGTGACACCCAGCTTTTTCTAGCACATGTGTGCTTAGGACGGTTGAGGCTATAGCATGGATGCTACTCAGAGTACTATTTTTTAAAACTTTTGCTTGACACGATACCATTAGAGTTTTCCAGAATCACTAAAAACGCCTCAGAGCAGGTTTTGTTGCTGCAGGGCCTGAGTGCCCCTCCACTGCTGGCTGTCCCCGCCGTCCTGGAGCCCTGTGGGCTCTGTCCTGTCTTGGGCACTCGGGAGACGGACGAGGCTCCCAACGGGAGGCAGGGTCTCATCACCCCCAGGATAGGGAGAGCCGATGCCTGAGCCCATGCAGCAGTGAACATCCTGGGAAGGAAGTGTTGAGCCCCAGTCCCGTCGTTTCCTTAAGATCAACCACAGAAGTCCCGTCATGGGAGTCAACGTGTGCGCGGCTCCGTGTGCATGAGAAGAGGAGGTGCAGGGCAGGCTGCGTGGCCCCCACACTCCCTCAGGGGGCCAACTGCACCAAGACTCCAACCGTCCACACAGGACAGTGACCAGGTGAGCAGGTGGAGCGGTCCTTGGCCTCTGTGACCTCCTGGCCTCATTCCACAGCATGTAGAGGTTTACTTGGGATCGGGGCTTCTGGGGCAGGAGACCTGCACTCCACCTGCCACTTCTGGGAGAGAAGGAGAAAAAGTTAGGGTGGGCTACAGCCAGCCAGCTCCTGCCCCTGGCAGCCCAGGCCTGAGCCCCCTGGGATCTCCCACCCCTACCCTGTAAGGACCAGACAAACAGGCCCAGCCGACCAGGTGCAGGTTGAGGAAGGCACTCCCCACCTTCGCCTGCGTGGAGCCCTGAGCCTTGGGGCATCCTGAGGGCAGCTCCCGGGGCACCCCATCTAAATTGCACACACACTCAGGCCCTAAATTAAAATGTCACAGGCCGGTTGGGGAGGCTCGGGTTTCCTGGCCACGGAACATGAGCCTGCTTGATAAAACAATTTTGGTTTTGATAAATGTGGATTTTCTGTGGCAGAGACAAAGGCGCCCTTGAGTCCAGAGGGGAGCCTAAAACAGCACATTGCTGAAAAGTATTTCCTGATAATATTTTTAGCACCTGAAAAAAACATTTTTTTCTCTTTTTTGCCTGCAGAGTTGTGTGCGTGTGTGTGTGTGCGTGTGTGTGTGTGTTTTTAATGAAATGTAATGCCCAGCAGCAATGGGGCCTTGTGTTAACCCCCAGATCCCCGGGCCCGGCTGAAAATCTGCACAGGGCGCAGGCCAAGGCTGGTCAGCAGGGTACGGGCCCAAGGAAGAGTGGTCTCTCTGGGCCATGACCAGGGTCTGGCCCACGACCAGCTGCTCCCCAGGCCCACCAGCTCTGACTCTCTGGGACAAGGACGAACCTAAGCGTTTCCAAACGCTGCTCTGCGGACCCCTGCAAGGCCCACCAGCCCACCCGCCTAGAGAAACAGGCCTCCACTTGGTGTAGCCAGTGAGTGCCACTGTGTGCCCCAAGATGCCCTGGGCCCTGGGCAGCCCTGCCCCCAAGTTGACCCAAACCCAGCCCAGAAATGGGTCGTTACCCAGGCCCCTGTCTTATGTGCTCAAGAGAAGGTCAGCAGTGGCGAGAAGGGCGCCTGTGGCCTGAGCAGCCAGCTTGGAGGCAGCACCCTGGCTGGGATCTAAGAGCAGAGCAGGAGCATGTGGTGGGAAGTGGATGGGTAGTAGGGACAGGGCAGGAGGTGGGCCAGCCCTAGGGCGGGTCAAAGCCTCAAGCCCTCATGATGAGGCTTCTTCAGGGGAGAAATCCTGCCCTGGGGTTGGCACTGCCACCTCCCACCTTCGCAAACTCATGGGAAGGGCCTTCCAGCCAGGCCCCAAATGCACTGAAAAGAGGATAGAGGGCTGCCAGGTTTTTCTAGAAAAAAGACAAACAGAAAAGCGTTCTCCCTGATTCCCGCCATGGTGACGCCTGGCAGCTCTGTTCCCGAGGCTGCTACATGGGGCCTTGTCCTGACCCCACAGCCTGTGCCAGCGAGAGGTGGGAGCAGCCCTCCCTGCCCAGGGAGGCCAGGGCTGGGCTGAGGAAGGGGTTAAAGCATGTTCCTGAGGCCCCGTGTGTGTGCGTATGCCGCCTCCGTGCGTGCGAATATGTATGTGTGCGTGGACGTGTGTGCATGTGTGTGGAGACGTGTCTCTCCTCGCCAGGTTCTCACCGAGAGCCGGCCTCAAGTAGGGATTCTACAAGTCCCTCTCTGATTCCTTCCTCCAAAGACAGGAGGCCTTGACCTTCCTGGCCCTGGAACCACGGCTGTGCTGCTGTCCTGGAGCTCTGAAAGCTGGGACCGTGATCTAAGGGCTAACTGTGGGACAGAACCTGTCCTCTCCCAGGCTCAGTTTGCCTCTCTGCAAACAGAATCGCCACCCCATGCAGGGTGGGAAAGGTGCCAGGGGCAAGCTTTCAGGCGCGCTCACTCTCAGGGGCGTGCCAGTGCAGGGTCAGCCCCTCCTTAAACATTCTGCACCTGGCCCTGACACCAGATCTAAAGGGTTGTGAACCTTTAAGTGAAAACACCAAGTACAGGATCTGTGAGAACCGGCAACACCCAGTCACACCCAGAGAACCCTCCGCTGCTTCTTAAAAATAACATTGACTGCGCCCGGCTCTCACTGAAAAACAACACATGCTCACCTGAGACATTTCAGAAGATACAAACACGAAGACAAACAAAAAACCACCCAGCACCTCAGTGCTAGATGCAGTTACCATCAGCCCGGCCTTTTCTGCTTGTCTTTGAGGGGTGCACCCTTATCTTTGGGGGCCCCAGTGTGGCACGCAGCCAACATCACCCAACACTAAGAGAAGAGACGAGGGTGGGCCAGGTGGGTTCCAGGAATCAGGC